CACACTACCTCAACGAATCATAGAAAAAAAATTACCTTGTGTTAAGCGAACAATTCCTGTGAATACCAACATAAAAATGGCGATCATCTTGGCCGCAGTAAAGAAAATCTGTATTCGAACGGCCCATTTCAAGCTTGCGCAGTTGACAAAGGTGATAACGCCTGAAGATTCGATGACAATGATGAAATTAGTTATATTCTTAAGTTGCCATTATTTGACAACAAATTGGCACCTTTGGTAGTCTGTCAGATGATCCACGGGACTTTTTGCGAGGATTTCCCAACCTCATTGTCTTAAAAGAAAATTTGATATAATTAATTGTTTTGATGTCCATCGTGTATATTTGTTCTCCTAGAAATTCTTTTATTTTTTTCAAAGCCTTATCATAAACCACATTTCAAAGCGTTTCATATGCAGCGTATGGAAGGCGCACGAGGAGCGCGATGTCACGACTCGCAGTCCACGCTAATTCTCGCGAGTTGTTGCTTGTTTGGCGCTGTAATCTCGACAGCAAAACAATCACATCCTATTCCATATACGACTGAGTTATTGGACCGTTTGATTTCTAGAGGTGGTCAATTTTTTCACTTGTACTAGAAATTATCATTGTCTTAGAAAAAAGAAGCAAAGATAAAACAGGTTAAAAAAAATAGAAACGAGTTAATCAAGCATATCTAGTGTCTACTGTTTTCAAATAGATGATAGACGATTCTCGGGGAAAGAAGGAAATGAGAAGCAATTTTTTAATGGGCAGAACTTTGAGTTACACAACACTCGGATCAAGTTCCTTGAATACATGTTCGAAATTTGAACCTTAGGAACTGATATATTACCATAACAATCTTGAGGAGATTATATTATTGAACGAGAGTACAACAATATAAAACTGATTTACGTTTCTCATCTAAACCTACCTAATGCTGCAGCTGCTAGTAACTTAATAAGCGGAACATACTCTTCACGACTTCTACATCCCGGTAGAAACGCCTCGACAGTGTAGGCTCCAAATACTAATAGGACCATAATCTGACTAGCCGGGTTCATAAACAACACGGACATCCACGCGTACAGGAAAGCTGGAAGAGGACCATATGCTTTCAGCAGATACTGGTACTCACCACCTGATTTTGGAATCAAAGTTCCCAATTCGCAGTAGCACAGTGCTCCAAGTAGAGAAATCACCCCACAGAAAGCCCACATCACCAAGGACATGCCAACTGAACCGACGTAAAACAGCACCCATTTCGGTGTCGCGAAGATGCCGGAGCCGATTATCGTGCCGATGAGAAAAGCAGTTCCACCTGGAATTCCCAAAGAACGTTTCAGAGAAATCGGATTTTCTTGTGGAATTTCTTCGTAGGGCTCGCTATCTTGGTCGTCATAGCCCGCAAGCAGGTTTTCAGCTGACTCGGATGACGCCATTTTCCACTACTCGATAACTTTTGATTCAAATTAGAGTTCATCTCGTGACCTCGGTACGGTTAACTTATAATATCACGCTCTTAAAGAACGGGAAAACACTTACTGTGCGCAGTCGCTCTATTGTACTTTTTTCTGTTAAGAACTTGTCTGTACAGATTCAAAAAGTAAGTCTAGAAGTGGAAGGAGGATTATCGAGAATAATATATTCCATTTTTTAAAGTTACGTGACGCGCTCATGCAAAACAACCGAGTCGAAATGCGAAAGAAAGACAAAAGCCACAAAATCAAAACAAAAACTATTTACATGCGCTTTCTACAATCTGCCTGCGTTGCCTGTAGGCCTTTCACCAAACAAAATCGTGTGTTTTATTTTCTTCGGTGGCAAGCATTTCCAGGTTGAGAATGGGAAAGGTCAAGCACTGAAACCAAACATGAATATTGAGACCTCTTTGCTACGGAAGAAAGTAACCTGGTTACGCAACCCATGTTAGTGCGCTAACGTGGGTCGCGTGACTAGGTTACTTTCTTCGCGATTTGTTGTGAATACTTTACCGTGTTTCTTTCTGTGCTTGCAAGAGGAAACTTTAGTAAATATCGGGCAAACTGCAAGAAAAATTCCCAACTGATAGAGGCAGAACATTTGGCATTTCACAAGGCGCAGCAGAGGTGTTGAACTTTGGACAACCTAGAAACAAATCCGACGGCGTGATAGAGAATTTGAATCTGAGAACTCGAGACTTTCCATTATCCACTTGGCTACGAGCCTGCTGTCTTTATTATGTGTTTCTGTTTGGAATGTAACTTGCCAAAAAGGGTGAAATGTTTAAGGGGTTTCACATTGTTAATGCTGTCATCACATCTTTAAATTCAATACTAAGCGAGGTGAAGTAAATGGGCTTTTACTTGGGTTAGAAGAGCGCAGAACACGCCATCACAATGTAAATGTGCTGCATACAAAATTAATCAGCTTAGAGTAACCTTGAAACGTGGAAATGTGTGATAAGCTTACTTGCACGTATCTTAACTTGGTAGTGTGGAAGTGTAGATGTGTGGAAGTGTAGAAGTTGGAAGTGTGGAAGTGCATGTGCAAATCTGGAAATATACAAACGAGTCGTTACCTTACTCACTTTTATCTTAACTCGGTAGTGTGGAAGTCTGAAGTCTGGAAGTCTGAAAGTGTGGAAGTGCAGAAGTGTTGAAGTGTGGAAATGTGGAAGTGTGGAAGTGCGCAAATCTGGAAATATGCAAATGAGTCTTTACCTTACTCACATTTGTCTTGACTTGGTAATGTGGAAGTGTGGAAGTGTGGAAGTGTAGAAGTGTGGAAGTGAGGAAATCTGCAAATATGCAAATGAGTCTTTACCTTACTTACTTTGTCTTGACTTGGAAGTGTAGAAGTAAGGAAAGTGTGGATTTTCCAAGTCATTACTCACAACTGTCTTTGGCTGTTTGCTCTCCAAGTCTGTTGTGCATGGTATGTAGACATGTGTCTTAACAACAGTTATAGTCTTGCCTCAATAATCCTGGTTTTATCTTATTTTGTTACTGAGCTTCGGTGGTAATTTTTCTAACTGCATTTTTGGGCTTGAAGTGCTAACTAGAAGATAAACTTCAGTAGAGCTTATTTATCATGTGGCCCCCAAATCCTTCACCAATGTCAGTTCATTGTTTATTTATTTAGCTTTTAGTCTCACCAGTTCATCTACCTCAAAAAATGTGTGGGCTTTGTCTCACGATGCCGTTTTCTTCATGTTCATGTGTTATTTGAAATGAATGGTATCAGTTTCATTCTGTCTTGTTTATTTCTGTAGAAAACTTCTGCCATGCAAAATGAATTTTGAGTCAGAGTGTACTAATGAAACTTGCAGATTAAAATTATCAAACTTTCTCTGGTTCTTGAGGTATGCGACAAGTGATGCAACAAATAGATAATTACTCAAGGGGCTGGAACTCCTAGTTTCTTTGGAATGTTAACTACAATATTTCTGCTGTATTTGAAAACAAATTTTAGGTTAAAATGTCTTCAAACCAATTTGACTTGCATTTCACTTTGCCAGAAATGTCTTGATCCTTAAATGTTTATTTCGTAATAGAGAATGATGATAGTAATTAACTTTTATGTTCTCTGCTGTTTAGAGAGATGTGAAGTGACCCCCATTACATTTAGGTGGTACCATTGACAGAATGGATAGGTGTGACATTTACTGTGGGAAGCTGGTATTCAGGAGATTGTCATAAGTACCAGAAGCTTACTAGTGGTTTCAATTATCAATCTGTTGTCCTCTTCATGCAACTTGCCTCAACTAGCTCATGCTATATACAACTAATTGTGTCTATACTTTATTTGCAACTGTAAAATTACCGATAAAGTTTCTGAGTGATTAGGTGAAATTATGTCATGCTCCTTAGGACTGTTTGAGCTTCCACAAAGAGAGCTATAAAATTTCTTAAGTGACTGATGTATGATTTGCCTGCCATAAAATTGGCACAGCAGAATCCCTTGCTAAAAAACTGTAAATTTCCTTAAACAGGCATCCAAGTCTGTGCCCAGTTATTTTTTGCTTAATGTGCAATGTCAATGTCAACTTTTGATCCATCTCATTTCTCTACAATCTGATAGGTGTAAATCATCCATTTTCATGAAGAGATCAATGAACCTCCCCACATTAGTTTAATCTGACCTCATTTAGTCTTGTTCCTGGGGGAAGAAGGCTTTTGAAAATTTTTTGTTTTTCATCCCTTAGCCCTACTGGTTCTTTGTTGTTGGGCTTGTAATAAGTCTTTTCAGACCATCAGATTGCCACATAACTTGTAATCAATAGGTTGAAGGTAAGGTTGCAAAGAGTGTATACGATTCTGTTGTGCAGTTGAAATGATAAATGAATATGGTTTTTATTTGGAAATAATTGATTTATTTAACTATTCATATTACAACTGGAAGCCCAAACTAGTACTTGTTTTAATTCACAATTCCCCCACATCAAGTTGATCATATCTGATGATATTTCTGAGACTGATGATTGAAAAGAGTTTTCCTTAAAGTAGCATTGAAGTAACATTGAAGGCACACTGTGATTGGCTACTTGAACTCTGGATATCCTTTGCCATTTACCTCTACACAACTGGAGCTGGATAAGCATTTGAAAATATTGTAATTATTACAGGAATAAATGACACAACTAATAAATAAATGAAACATGTTACTGGCATATTGAACAAAATATTAATAGGCTATAATAGTGTTATTTGAGTTTTTGTATAAAGAGACAATTTAGTATTTCCCAGTCTCAACAGTAATTACCAGAGACATGGCTAAGAATCATCTCTTTCATTAACTGAGTCTATTAAAAAGAAAAAGATATGCTATGAATTTATTTATAAATTGCTGTGTTTATAAATAATATGCCTGAGTGAAATATGTTACTGGCATGTTGAACATCATAATAATTGGTTATAATAGGTCTGTTTAAGCTGTTATATAGAGAGACAAATTTTTTCCACTCTCAGCAGTAATTAATCAACAGAAATCTCAACATTGAGACATGGTGAAGAGTAATCTCTTCCATAGATGAAGTCTATTCAAAAGAAAAAAAATGTTATGTAATGTTTTGAAAAAAGAGCCTCAATGAAACATGTTACTGGCATTTAGAATATAATATTGTTACTTTTCATTTGTAATACAAAAAATTGTTGTATATAGAGAGAATGCCTGAATTTTGATACTATTCTAGTATTATGAGATGTACAAGTGCAGATTAAAGAGATGTGATATTTCAAAGTTACAGTTTTGTTATTTGTGACACTAAGGTGCTTTACATATTGTTTGCATTCCAGCTAGTGAAAAGGGTTGTTAATAGTGTTCTTTTTTTTCAGATCAATCATCATGTTTATATTTATTGCAGATTCTATTATCATGAAACACATTTTACTTATATTTAGAGATACCTCGTTGATACTACAACATTTTTTTCACTTTGTTTAGTTCAGACTTTGCTACCTGCTGTAGCATTCAATGGTCCCTTGTGGATGCAAATAAATCTGTATTGTTCACAAATAACTTTGAAACATAATTTTTCTAAGCAACTTGGTAAATCATTATACGTCCCAATAAATTCTCAAAGGTGTTAATTGCTGGTTGCTGCCTGGATATTAAAAAGTGGCATTTCACTTATAGAAAAAATTCATACATTAGTGGAAAACCCAGTTGAATGAAGAGGTGAGAAGTGGCTGGGATTGAAACAATGTATACTAATTTTTGCATAGTTATCTTTGTGAAGTAAATACAGCACTCTTGTTGAAAGATTGAGTGTGTAGCTACAAGATCAGTAAACAATCTGGTCATAACAATGAGGAAAGGGAAGAGCTACATGTCGATCAAGACTCATTTAAGCTACTAAACTTTGAACTTTGCACCAATGCTAGAGACTTTAGTAGCTGCCCCCAGTATGGTTTCTTGAGCTAATTTATTGAAAATTGCACCTTACAAATGTTGCTGTGTGTTATAATTTTTTTTTTGTCTTTTAAGTATTGGTCCCATCCTGTATATCACTGTAACATACCCTTAGAAAATTACAACTCCCTGACAAAAAGGTTTAATTTCTTTGCCATCGCTGCCAATGTTCACTATTGTGAATGTTCCAGACCTTAGCGAATTCTTCGTCTGATGAATCTACCAGAACAAATTTCAAAAATTTGGCAGCAAATTCTGCACTTAACATCTTCCCTTCCTTTTGAACCTCATCAAAATAGGATACATGAGGCAGTTGTTGTTCCTTAGCCAATTTAATATGTTCCCACAGTCCTTCTGTATCAACAACACCTGGAAGAACATCAGCAATTTGGACATGTGACCCTTTCAATTCCACAGCTAATTGCTCGTAAAGCCTCTGAAAAGCCATCTTGGTGATTCCATAGGTAATTGTTCCAAGCTGAGGTTTTTTAGCAACTCCTGTTCCAAGGTGAATTATCCTTCCCTTGCTGCAGTTCAATCTCATGAAAAATCCTTTGGCTAGCATGAGTGGTGCAGTGACATTTACTGCAAAGGCATACTCAAACTCTTCGCGCTGAATATCCTGTAATCTTGATGGGACTCCCACAGCAGCATTTTGGACCAAATATTTTACACTGTCACCCTCTGGTATAAAATCCAGTATCTTTCTTTGGCCATCAGTGGTTGCTATATCAACAGCAAGAGGATAAATGCTGTCTGGAGAATAACTTTGGGTTTCTTGTAATGGCTGAAGTCTGCGTCCAATTGCAAGGACGTTCAAATCATGACGTGACAATTCCTTGGCCAAAGCAGAACCAATACCAGTCCCAGCACCTGTGATAACTGCCCAATTTTTCATCCTTTTCTTGCCGGACAATGTAAACAAGTGGACAAGACAAATGTTACCAACATACTGAATATCAGAGCTGAACACCATTATTTAATGAATGTAACCGAGAAGTAGCAATTCATCGACCCGTATAAACAAAGTCTGTGAATAGTAACTTCTCGGTTAGATTCATTAAATCTCTAAACCAGAGTAGCATTAAACCATGCCTGATTCTTGGACCCTCCCCCCCACGTCTCGTAATAATTTGACGACAGCGTAGGAAATCTCGTCCGAAATTAATAGCAATTTTTTTCTAAGAAGTCACCTTGATAGACAGACATTAACTAATATCTTTTAAAAGAACATTTCACATGAATATAGTTTTGAAGGATTACGTAACGTTTCAGAAAGCGAAAGTCGCGTCTTTGATCCAAAACATTACGTAATAAAAGGAAGTCTGGAGCTCCAGGCAAATGATCTGGAGAGTATAATTAAAACATTACGTTGGTACCTTTCGCTCTGGAAGGTGTACTGTACCAATTCACTGGTCCGCACGTTTCCTACACGCTTAATTCAGAAGGTGATGCCCAGGCTGTTCGCTAGCTTCGCGTGACAGGAAGCGTGACACTGGGGCTTAAACGGAATCACAACCAAATAGACTCAACAGCTGTGTACTATATGTGCCGCTCAGCAGGTTAAGGTTTTCGGGGTAAAAATTCTATTTATATTTCTTTTTTTTTAATCATTTCCTCTCTGTTACTGAGAGAAAAAAAAAAAAGCATGACGGAAGTGTAAAAACACATGGCTCAATGGGTCAATCTGTTTTTCACTTTCGGTGGCTCTATTTTTAATCCTTCCCTTGCAGCCTGTTTTGAAGCGGAGGAACTTTCTCACAACATGTTCCCACTCCTGGAGAGGGTTACAACATGTCTTACTTGCATGTCTTTGTTGCTGAGGAAACTAATTGTTTTTCCCTAACGAAATTATTTTTGATTGATTTCTTCCAGGACTCTCATCACTTCATCAAGCATTTCAATCTTCTTTATCTTAATCTTATTTGACAGTTACAAGTCTTTAATATAATTTTAAAAGACTTCTTTTGAAATATGATACACTTTATATTTTCAGAGCAATATTTGATATTTGCACTTCAGCCTTCAGAATTGACCAATCGGAAAGCCCTTCTTGTTCTTTATTTCAACTTTGCCTGTCCAGGGTCCCCTTGAGGTTGAAAGCATGTCCGCCATCTTAATCACTCTGACACGACATTCTTGTGGCAGTATTATTTAAGGCCTGGCATGCTCGGGTAGTCCTTCGTCCTTTATTGTTCTGTTTTAACCTCTAGGGAAGTTTTTTATTTCTGAAATTAGACAGTGGGTGTTTAATTCATCGATCAAAATAGCTTTTACGCTCTGGTCAGTAGTGCGATCATTCAATAGCAACATGCCTAGTATCCCGGCCGCTAAAAACGCGAACAAAGAAGGTAAGGCTAATTTAACATATATTTTGGAAGCAAGGGGTAATTTCTAAAGTTTTATAACGTGGAATAATTCTATTGAAGTGAATTTAGTGCAAGGTAATTTGGCAATTTTCAATACAGGCATGGCGAAAACCACTACAGAAGACAGCGACACCGATGAAAGCTACGACAGTTTGCCTGAATTGGTGGCTTGCACGGACGACGAGGTTAGAAAAGTTGATTTTATTTGTAATTTCCGTGTACGTCATTGCATTTATGGCCGGTGAATAACGCGAGTTCAAAACTCTTGTTACCTTAACTAAAGGACTCCGAGGATGAAGGTTACCGTAAGAAGTCTGCGTCCAAGACTAAAACCAAGGGAAAGGACAAATCAACAGCGAAGGCAAAAAACAATGGTCAGTTTATTATGAGACTCCGAATTAGACATAAACTTGATAGTCAGTGCTGTGAATGTGAAATACAAAAGGATAAAAGTAGAACCTGTAGAACTCGCTATCACTGAAATTACTCAATTAACCACGTTGTTAATTAAAATTGATTTGGCAATGATGCTTACGTTGCATTAATCTGAATAAAGATATATCGGAATTTATATCAGAATCGAGTTACTTCGAGAGACCTGATAGGCCAAAAACCTTTCGTTTATTGCACTAGTAAAACCAAAGAAATTGATTCAATTCAAATTTATTCATAAAAGTAATAAACCGCATTTTCTATCGGGTTTGTGATGTAATAATCCCTTTGATAGGTTGGGTGAACGCTCAAAAAGTTTGCAAATCCTTTACCTCTATCTCATAATTTGTATACTTCTTTGTGTTCTCCATTGTCCAGCATGGTTTGTTATGCTGGTAAACCAAAAAAAGGAAATGAACACACCAGCTCAAACGTCTTTGTAATTAAGACTTTTCTGTATTAAGTCAATTATTTTGTAATCATGACAAATGAAGAGTTAAGTTCCTTCTGCTCAAAGCCAAGAATTTGTAATGTTAGGATCAGTCATTTTACTTGAAGTCTAGTGATGACTATTCCCACCAGTTTCTCTCTTTTGACCAAAAACAGTGGAGTAACACTCAAACTCCCAAGATTCCCGTCACCTACTGCCATACATTTGCTTGTAACTGAGATGAAAGAATTTGGTGTGACAGGTGTTATTAATGTTCTATTTAATCATTTGTTTTGTGGATAGTGTCTTAAATTACACAGGGATGTTACTTTTTTATTGCATCTTGGGAATTGATTTGTGAAAAGCAGACAACAGGATGGCTGATTTCTATCTTGTTGTACTCTTTGCACTTTCTAAACCTTCTTAAAGTGCCTATGACACAAAATTCTTTTTTGTATACATATTTAGCTTATCATATGTACAAACCAATTCTGATAGAAGAAAAATTTCAAAAAACTTAAAACTCGGTTTTTTTGGGCCCTGAAGTGCTCTTATTCTGTTTTAAACGTCTCCTGTGGACTGGTAACAAATTAGTAGGTGATTATGTAGAAAACTGTGAAAATTCTCAGTTGACACCTACATCTTTTGTAATTTTGTATCTGTCAGCATTAAAATGCTCTTGAAATAATATGTAATAGAGATGTATACCCACCTTCAGCAAGCTCTACTGAGAATTGTGATGCGTCATACTTAAGTAATAGGGAAGAAATGGAAGTTGTGAGTATGGTTCAGCCCCACGAAGGAGAACTGCATGCATCAAACAGAGATTTCGACGAAGACTGACAAAGACGGTTTCTCAACTGCAGTGTTCAGGTCAAGATTAGAGTAAAAAATTTCTGTTACTGAATATTTAGTTTGTTGTGTTTGTGTTTTGTTTTCTAAGGCGAAATCTATGGTAAGAATAGCTAGTTGTGTTTGTGTCTGTTGCCATAACATTTTATTCCTTCACACTGTGTGACAAAGGTTCCCCGTAGTCAATGCTCTAGAGTTTCATTGCTATAGAGAAATTCCCAGAGTAAACCAAGAGTTAACTTTCGACAAAAGAATCAGCTGTATCAATATTTTTCACCAAGAAGTCATCAGGCAGTTTCACTGCAAGTTGCTCCTTTCCTCAGAGATTGTAAAGGTAGAGGCTATCGTCATGATCATCAAGCCAATCAAACCGAACAGAAAACAAACCCCAACCCTAAGCTATAATCAACAACAGGAAGAGCACTATTCTTTGCTTGCAAAATGTCAACTAAAAAGAATGTGGAACAATCGTGTACATTGTGGGAACAGGCTGCTTAATCAGCACTCTTTTTAGCTGACTTTGATTATCTTCTCCTGATTTGACTAGTGGTACATGTTCATAACAGGCATCTTCAAAGCTTGCATGGAGCACAAGGCAGATGACATTGAAGAGTAAAATCTCCTTGATGTTGACAATCGAGACATGTCCAATTTGGCCATAGAGCTACATCCTTCAGAAAGTAGTGTGTAGAAATACATGTATAAATGTATTATTCTTGTAGCTAACATCATTTGGCACTCTGGTCATGCAATACATTTGCCCTTTCTTCTAGATTTTTCCTTTCTCCACCATAGTTGCCAACATGTGTTCACAGTTTTCAATGTCACAGCTATGTAACATGATCGTTTTGGTCGTGCGCTTAATGGGGGCACTTTTCGGCTGCCAAATCATACTTTCAATGCACAAAAAAATGGTCAAGGAAAATTCTCTAGGCACTAAAGTTGATTATTTCTACTTTTAAATACAGCTATCAACCTGAAAATGCAAAAAATATTTCATGTCACAGGCACTTTAAGAGGAAGCAGTTACAAATGATTCTAAAACATTATTTTTAGAGAATTAACAAACATTTAACATGAATATGTGGGGTCAACTTAAAATAGCCTGTGAGAATGACAGTGATTACAACCCTTTTGTTTTTCTTCTTGTTTTTTACTGTTTCTACTTGGTTTGATGTTTCATTTTCTTTTTCTTTTTTTTAACAAATGATAGCTGAGTGTGCAGATATTTGGTATAAACTGAGCAAAGATGAAAAGGAAAGTCACATCCGTGTCATGAGGATTTACCTACTATCACCTTTCCTGTTTGGTCAAGTTTATCAAGATGACAAGGTAAGACACATTTGTTATACTCATTTCAAGCCTGGTTTAAACATCACTACTAGTGAGTGAAACCTAATTTGTTAAGTTTTGACATGAGAGTTTTGGCTGAATCAATTTACTTGCTAGACTGAAATGTTTAACGTGTGTTGCTACATTTGATTTGGGGCTTAGTGTCTAAATGACGTAAGGTTTTGTTATTGAACAGAACACTTTCATTTGTTCTTTTTCTTAGTGGATTAACTGGGCATATGATTGCAAGCTGTTACCCTCCAAGAGGTATAATATAAATTTGTTTTTACGGACTCAGTCAGTAGTAGTTTCAAAAATCAGGATTCAGTATTACAATTTGGGGGAAGATGTGAATGACACTTGTTCCATGCTGAATAGATTCCTTTAGATTACACTATTTTTACCCAAATTTTCTCATTCCTTTTCTCGTACTATTTTTGCAGTTATGATTAACTCCAACCCTTTTCACTTCCAAGATAAAAAAAATTTTAATCTTTGCTCTGAGCTCCATACATTGCTTATAATTTTAGCTTAAATTTTGTGAATTTGGTGGCCAATCAAACCTTATCCCTAAACACGATATGTTTTCTTTCCTTCTTAACACCTTTTTATTAGAAAATTTATTAATATTTTAAGGAGACATTTCTTTTTGGTTACTTCTGGGAATGAAAGGGTCAAGCTTCACAGGAAATTTTAATGGGATTAAAAGGCTAGTATCATTGATTGACAATTAATGGATTGATAAGTTTTTAGCTGATAGTTCCTTCCTCAAATTCCTTGGGGATTATATCTATGTGGGACTGGAATCACTCAGTCAGTCTGGTATTGGGGTGATTAAAATTTATTTTCTGCTTCTATGATGTCATTTGGTGGATCATGCACTCTTTATTAAATAGCTGGTGACTTCACTAGTGAAACAAGTGCCTGTGCTTGTGAAGTCAGGTTAGGACCATATAAGTGTTAGGTAGACACTTTCAACCAGTTGAAGGGGCCCCCTAAAAAGTCATTGTCTTATTGCAGAATACAACAAAATGTAAACCATGCAGATTGTTGTGTTTTTT